AAGTCCCATTGAACTGTTAGAAAATGGGAAGTATTTCTGTGTAAATTTGGCTGAGGCAGCTGTGCACAAGGGTTTGCACTCCATTTTACTTCAGTTATCCAATGCATTGTGACTTTGACACCTGGAAAATGCTGCCAATGCCAGAGGGGTGCTGCTGAGTAAGGCTCTGGTAGCAGCAGATATCCCTGTCCAACCAACAAAGATGGATTCCATCCCTTACCTTATGGTCAGATACAGAAGCAGGCCTTGTAAGTCATTGCTGAGAATACGGTACTTGGCTTGACACGGGCAATGCGAGACTTATTGCTTTCATGAGCCATAGTGGCAGACCTTATTTATGGATGAAGTTTTTGTTTGACTACCCTATAATGGTATTATGAGTGTGGTTATTGCTGCTGCTCATCATCATCATAGTCATCATGATTATCATAGTAGTAAAAATACTATGTTGGATGAAGTTTCCACTTTCTAAAACATTTATTGCCGTGACTGGGTCCGAATTCTAAAGTGCTCTTAATAATATAAATCTTTACACAGTTAACAGAGTTGTTTGTCTCGCAGTTTGACTAGTGATTAATCAGCAATGTGAAAGAAAGTCATGTAACATTGATGCCAGAGGGCATTGAACGAAGTTCTTTGAAAAAAAATCTAAGCAAATGCTCCTTAAGAAACTACAGTGGTGCCTTGCTAGACGATGATAATCTGTTCCACTGAAATCGCTGTTTAGCTAAATCATTGTCTAGCGAAAAGCATTTCCCCATTGGAATGCATTGAAACCTGTTTAATGTGTTCCAATGGGGAAGAATCATCATTGTCTAGCGAAGATCGGCCATAGGAAAGCCACTTTGTGAACTGCCGATCAGCTGTTTAAATTGCTGTCTTGAAAGACTTTGGTCCCGAAAACACCTGTTTTGCAAGTGCGGAGGGAGCTGTCAAAATTGTCGTCTAGCAAAAATCGGTTTGCGAAGCAAGGACCAAATATTGTTCAGCGAAATTCCCCCATAGGAATCACTGTTTTGCAAATTGCTATAGCGATCGCAAAAAGTCAATGTCTAGCAAAAAAACTGTCATGCGGGGTAACTGTGTAACGAGGCACCACTGTATAAACACATGAATTAATTTAGGCTTTACCCTAAACTGCAAGCTCCATCTTGCAATACAAAATAAAATAAAATAAAACCTGAAACATTGTTGTTATGACAGATTTTGCCAAAATCTATCTTATGGTGTACATGTATTTCCTTGGCTTCAATTAGTAGTAAACTAATTAACACAGTTCTTCTGTATATTTGTGAAAAGTGGCTCCTTCTTTCCTTTGCATTTCTTGCAAGTCCCAAGTGTGATGTAAGAGTGATTGAGTAGCTAATTACTCTGTAATTGAATTTACACATTATACACTTGTTCAGGCAGATTACTCATTCAGAAATAAAACTAATTAAATTAAGCTATACAGGCAAATACAACCACTGTATTAAAGAAATTAAACATACTTTTTTAAAAAAGCTGTTTTATTCCATTTATTATAGGTACATGACGTAACAAAATTCACTCATTAAATGCGTTATAACTAAAGTGTGACCCATAGTCTTCCTTAAATGTATATATTCAAGTAAGTTAATATAAAAATACCTTAGGAAATGGTAGTATTTTTTGTTAATTTAAAAGATTCAGATAAATCTGTCAGAAGAACCAGATATTGATTCTACAGTATATCTGAATTCATACATCCATATAATCAAGTTAGTTGTTTGTTTTTAAATGCCTCATCTTTTCAGCAGAAGATGTCTATAATGTAGTGTAGTATTATTGCATCATATTGTACAGTCGGTGGTGTAGTGGTCATTCCACTGGAACAGGATTAAGAAGAGCAAAGTACAAGTTGCTATTCAGATTTGAGATTCACTGAGTGATACTGAACCAGTTACTTTCAGTTAGATCCCATTCAAGGTCTTGATTTGACCTCCTAAATAGTCTCTTCCATAGACACCTCTTCTAGAGACATCCAGAGAATTTTAAAAAGGTAAAGGTAAAGGTTCCCCTTGACAATTTTTTTGTCCAGTCGTGTCCGACTCTAGGGGGCGGTGCTCATCCTGCTCTTCAAGCCATAGAGCCAGTGTTTGTCCGAAGACAATCTTTCCGTGGTCACATGGCCAGTGTGACCACTGGCCATGTTTTTACTATATATAAAAATGTTTTTACTATATATAAAAATGCAGCCTATCTTTCGAGGCAAGTCATATCCAGGCAAGGAGGATAGCTTGGTCCAAAATTTTGCCTATTGTCCAATGCAAGAAGAACTGCAAAGTTAGTTGATTTGATATTATTAGGGAAATGTTTGATCTTCCCCACTAGATCTGTAGTACATTGCTGTCATTATATTTTTTGGATTTCTTCCCATCTAAGGCCAAATTGTGGTGTGTAAATGTGCCAGTATAGCCCAGGAGATGGAGAGCCTGGTTGCAGAGCCAAAAGTCTGAAGTTCAAATCCCTTTGTGTATCCCAAGAGAAGGGCCACCGTATGTGAGTCTGATGGGGGTTATGTAGCTTGCTACCTAATGATCCGAGAGTGTCACCAGAAGAATGGACTGGTAAACCACATCTGTATATTTGGAAAACCCTGGGGAAAACCCTATGTCATAATCAACTTGGCAGCACTTAATTATCATTAAGACCTCCTGTATTTTTCACTCCATAAGATGCACCTCAGCATAAGACACAACTAATTTTTAGAGGAGGAAAACAGGAAAAAAATATTCTGAACCAAATAGTGTAATAAAGTTGTATGGTATCTCTATAGGCAGAGTGGTCCCACATGAGGAGGTCTGTTGCTTTATATAATACATTTTAAATTATGTTCACCATTAGGGGAGTGAAGTAGACACCCCAAGGCACAATGCATCAGTGTAAAGTATCAAAACTTCAGGTTTAAGATACCATTAGACTGGGTTGCTTTGAATAGTATGACAAATCTCAAAAGAACTAAAAGCCTTTCACTCAGTGAGCAACTGAAACAAATCCTTCTATTTTCTTTATAAGCAAACTGAAGCCCATCAAAGGGATGAGGAAGGCAGGAGATAATATATTTCCGAACTAACTGCTCAAAGCACTTCATTAAGATTGAAGTTAGTGCCACCGGCCTGTAGTCATTCGGACTGTTTGTAGGCAACTTTTTAGGCAGTGGAACGATGACGGAAGCCTTGAGACAATGATCACGTGATCCGGCTGTCCAGTAAGCAGCACTGGTACTACAGGGCTGCTACGGATGCCCTGTAGTATCAGTGCTACTAATGAGTACAGTACTGGGGGGTCTGTTAAACCACCACCATTTTGCCTAGTCCCAGCAAGCTTGAGGCAGTGTCCTTCCAGATCAGCATTGTAAAAACGGTGTAATTATCAGACTGACCACTAGAGGGAACCAAATGCAATGTATTTTCTTCATAAGATGCACAGACTTTTCCCCTCACTTTTTTGAAGGGAAAAGTGTGTCTTATGGAGCAAAACATACGGTATTTACTGATCTTCATATTGGAGAACTTTTTAGCCCCTGTCTGTTTCCTGCAGGCCAAAATACTGGCAAGGGTACATTGGCAGGAAAGTCTGATGTGTAGACTTCCAAAATGAACAAACACAAATTTCCACAGTTAAGACTGTATCTACTGTTTTCAGCATTTTATTTTTCTTTCATATATTTTACTGTATGTTGGGATTGACACAGAAACTCGGCTATCTGTTTATGTGTTTGGAAAAGTACAAGTTACATTAACTGGCATCCATTTCTGTTGAATCCACTTTGAAGTATATGTTATTCCAGTTTGAACTGCTTGACCAAAAAGGTCCAACTTGGGCACAGATCAGAGTCAGACTGGTCTGTGATCTCATAAATGTCAGGTGATCACCAGAAAGTGGCTGGCACTTCACTGTGTTAAACCTCCAGGCTGATCTATTTTAACATCTCCTTTAAATCTTACATTCACCGTTTCAGCTAATGCACATTTTAAATTTCAGAGTTCTACAATGAAATTCTAACTTACTAGTGTAGGTCACCACAACAAAAACAACCATTTTATATACCCCAAGCAAAATACAAAATGGCTGACATTGTCTTTTTTTATGCATGCTATTTTCCTTATTGCATATATTTCATAAGTTACAGTAGTGCCCTGCAAGATGATTGCCTCACCGGATGAAAAACTCACTAGACAAATGGTCTGGAGAGGGTTTTGGTGCCTCACAAGATGATTTTTCCTATGGCACTGTTTTGCAAGACGAAGCCCCGGGAGGCTTCTGAAAGTGGTGCTTTGCTGGGGAAGGGTGTGTGTGTGCTCTTCTCCGCTCCCCCCTCCCCGCCTCACAGCTGATC